GTGCCAAGCCGTTACTCAAGGAAATTAATGCGCTAAACGTATACGAACTAAATATATACCATAACTTGTTATTTATGTTTAAACTTCAAAATGAACTAATTCCAAAATATTTTTATAAAGGTTTCTCTCTAATTAACCATAAATATGAAACAAGACACTCAATAAATAATTACTACATCCCACCAACATCACTCAAAAAATCTGACTTCTCAATTACATGTCGGGGGCCACGCTTGTGGAAGTCAGTTCTTGACGAAAATATGAAAAAAATAAAATCTATTGATATATTCAAAAGAACTATAAAAAAACACTTACTAAACTCAAACATTACATACATTCTTTCATTTTTTTAAAAATAATATTTTTTTGATAAATTTGATAAAAAGCTTTTTTTTTTTTTTTTTTTTTTTTTATTTTATATATATATATACATATATATCTTTCTTGTTTGATTTTCTCTTTGACTGTTTTTTTTTTAACTTTTTTTAATAAATACTAACAAATGAATTTAAATCTACATAACGTTTGGAATCTTTTTAATATATAAATATTTTTGAATATATACTTCGCTTTGTATTGAATATGTATACGTATATGTACTGATTTGTAAAAAAAAATTCAAACTTTTTAATTTACGCATTGTATACATTTTTATTTTTTTATTTCGAGATTTTATTATTATTATTATTATTATTATTTTTTTTTCTTTCTAATTTTTACTTTTTTTAATTTTTAATTTATTTTAAACTTTTTAATTTTTTTCAATCTTTTTACTTTATTTCAAACTCTTTAAATTTTTTTATTTTTATTTTAATTTTGTTTGAATGTTTGTTTATTTTTTCAAAATTTTTAATTTAACTCTTTTTTATATTATTGGAATTTTAGAAATTTTATATTTCTCTATTTCACAAAAGGGCTTGATGATAAGACTTTATGTCTTCTACTTGCCCCTGTCAGCTTGTAATTATATATATATTTATTCGAATTTAAAGATAACATTGTAAAATGTGTAAAACGACAAAATAAACTAACTATACAAAACATCTATTTAGTTTTAGTTTATTTTGCCGTTAAAAATGTACAACAATATAAAATAAGTACAATTGGTTGCAAATAAATATCCGTAATATTTTTAAATGCAACAGCATTTAAAAAAAAGACAATTTTAAGATGTTAAGAAACAAAAAAAGTAATAAAATAATTAAAAAAAAAAGAAAAGAAATGATTAAAATATAGTAATAAAAATGACAAAATTTTTTGTTTTTGGTTATAAACTGAACGTAATTCGATATATATATATATATATATATATATATATATATATATATATATATATATATATATATATATATACATATATATATATATATATATATATATATATATATATATATATATATATATATATATATATATATATATATATATATATATATATATATATATATATATATATATATATATATATATATATATATATATATATATATATATATATATATAAATATTTTTCAAAATAATTTGAAATTAAAATGATAAAATTTCTGTTGAAATATCATAAAATAAATCAATGAAAACTATCGAAGAATATTTCTTTCATTAACTTTTTCATTAACTCGTTTTATTTTGTTGTGATAAAAAAAAATATCAATAGTTTTCTTTAAAAAATTTGCATCTTTTGCAGAAGCTAAAGATGTAGAGCTACTGTAGCTCTGTTAGATACTAGCTCTGTTAGATAGCTACTTAGAAACCCAGGTAGAATCTAAGTAATTTTTTTTATACTGGAATCAGTTTTTTCTGAATTATTTGCATTTTCGTTGCAAATGTATAAATTGTCTATTGTTGTTTGAAATTCTACTGCTAAAAAAAAAAATTGGGGCTCAAATTATTTTTAACAAAAAAGTAATACATTGTTTTTTATTTGACAGTAACAACATAAATTGAAAAAAATATTTGTTATATTTTAGCATCTACCTATATCCTCACTATTGGTTCCAGGTATTTTAGAGTCTGATTCTTTTTTACCCAAATATTTTCTTAGCAGATACGTCTCTGATACATCAACTAATCCTGTTTGTAAAGAACTTTTTTTTCTTTGAGCTGGAAGAAAAATAGTTCTTGCACATTGTACATATGCAAGTCATATGGGCTTTAAAAAAACAACCGCTGCATCCACTTTCATTACAGCATAAGATTTTACACTTATAATTTATTAAGTCAAATAACTTATAAAGTTTGTTCGTATACATATTTCTTTTTTTTGTAGTTTTGAAATTTCCAATGTTTTTTGCAATGTTCTATTCAATGACAAGTTTATCAACTGCATATTTTTCTGAGACGAACGGGATTGTATAAATTGCTGACATCCAAACTTTAATAAATATTTGTATACACATTCATCTTAAATTAAAATGAGTAATTGATCTATCACGCAACGAAATTCCATATCGTAAACTATCTCTCAGTGTAGGCAGCTTCGATAAACAAAGTTTGAGTTTATTACCCAATAACTCATGCATTTTCGGGTATTTTAGTATTATTTTATTATATTATTTTTTGACGCCTAAACCGTAGAACTCATTTTTCAAATTTCAAAGTTTTGAGTTTCTTCTGTTTAAAAAAAATCATGGCATCAAAAAGACTGCATAAAGAAAACAACTTAAAACGGAAATATGAAACTCTACTGAAAGTGGAGAAATGAAGAATAATCAAAGAGGTTTCAAAAATTTTTGATATTCCACAAAACACTTTTTCAACCTGGAAAAAGAATACGGCTGAAACGGGTGAAACTTGATATGTATTACCTAGTAAAAAAAGCTTTACATAAATGGTTCAAACGAATGAGAGCTGATAATGTACCAATTGGTGGCTTGCTAGTAAAAGAAAAAGCTTTATATTTTGCAAAAGAGTTAATCTTAAAAAATTTTTAAGCTTCGGATGGATGGCGAGACCAATTGAAAAAAATAAATCAATTTTATTTTATCCAATTTTTATAATTAACGACTTTACAATATATAATTATTTTACATCTTTTTTATTTAATTGTTTAAAAAAATGAAATAAGTATTTTCAAGAAGTGGACATTCTGAAAACTTGCAAAGAAGTTGTTACACATTCAAACATAAGTACAAGTTATATTTAACCAATTAAAAAATTTTTTCTAGGTGTGGTATATCTTTCAAAACCATTTCTGGAGAGGCAAAGTTGGTTAATGAGCAAATGATTGCACTATGGCTCGAAACCACTCTGCATACAATTCTCTTTCAATACCCTCTTGAAAATATATTTCATGCAGATGAATTCGGACTTTTTTTTATCAATGTTTGCTTAACAAAAGGTTACATTTTAAAAATGAAAAGTGCACAGGAGGCCAGCATAGTAAAGTTCGCCTGACTGGGATGACCTCAAATAATGTTAAAGACTTTCAATGTTTGTAATTAGAAAAATGAAGTCTACTAGATATTTTAAAGGTGTGAAAAATATTTCTTGTTGCTATGAGGCCCAACCAAAAAGTTGGATATTGGCAGAATTATTCGAGGAGTGGGTTAAACAAATTGGAATAAATTTTAGTTTTCTGAAAAGAAAAATTGCTTTAATTATAGATAATTATTCTGCCCATTCTAACGTGTAGAAACTTGACTGGGTGTAACTTACCTTTTTCCGCCGAAAACAAACTCGATCACTTAACCTATGGATCAAGGAATTATCCGATCTCTTAAAGGAAAATATCGCTCACTTGCAGTAAAAAGAAAACAAAACACTTAAGTTTTCTTTTTTAACTGCTATGTTTATGCTAACAAAAACATGGAATTCCATTCCAGACCAGATCTTTACAAATTGTTTCAAGAAATCAGGAATACTAACAAAAGTAGTAGAAAAGCATATGAATGTTAATGAAATCCTTTCTGTGGCTCAGATGTAGAGAAGAATAAAAAACTTAAAAGATAATCCTGAATTGTTAAGAGCAAAATTTGCAGGTTTTAACTTTTAAGATAATTTTACAAAGGCTCTAAAGATATAAACCGTGTTATTGATATGAATTAACAAGTTTATAAAAGAAAATTACAATTACTGACTTTTTTTTTTAAAAAAAGTCAGTAATTGTAATTGTAATTGTAATTGTAATTGCATTTATACCGATTCGCACTTGTAAAAGTGCGAATCGGTATAAATGCAAAGCAGTTGCAAAAACTGAAATGAGTGTGAATTGGTATAAGTTAGAACTGGCATAAGTGAGCTGAAAGAACTTGCAAACATTGGCATAAGTGAAAGTTGGCAAAAGTGCGAACTGGCAGAAGTGAAAAGTAGTTGCAAAAACTCTCATAAGTGCGATACGGCATATGTGCGAACCAGCGTGCCACAAAAGAATTTGAAAACATTGGAATTGGCATGAGTGCGAACTGTCATAAATGCAAAGCAGTTGTAAAAACTGGCGTAAATCCGAACTGCCATATGTGCGAATTCAAATAAGTGCGCCGAAAGAAATTACAAAGATTGGCATAAGTGCGAAGGACATAAGTGCAAATCCTATGCCAAAGTTTAAGAACTCATTTGGCGCATTTATGCCAGTTTTTGCAAATTATTTTAGCACACATATATATAGAAAATAGAGAATGAAAACTATTATAGAAAAATATAGCACGGAAATTTAATAAAAAAAAAAAGACATATTTTTATTTATTTATTAAAAAATAAATAAAAATATGTCAGTTCACACATATGCCAACTTATGCTTTGCACTTATCACAGTTCGCACTTATGTTAATTTGCTTTTAATGCCTAAATTTGCAAATTCTAAAAAACGAACTTATTTAAATTCTCTAATCTAGTTTCCGGTTTGGTTTTTCATCTCAGAAACATTTTTATGCTGTTACATCAAAAAATTTTGCAAATATAAAATTTGTTATTTAAAAAAATCTGAAAAATAAGACCTTTTAATTATTTCTCTGCCAGAAATTAGAAAGTCCTTCATTAAACTTTTAACTTTTTTCATAATTTAGGGACAAGATTGTTTGAAGGAGTTATGCAAAGGTAGGCAAAGTATCTTAAAGACGCGGTAATGTTTCAAAAGCACCTTAGCTACACTGACTGGTAATTATTATAAAAAAAATAAATAATTAAGATATTATCGTTAATAATAACAGTTAACATTAATAAGTGTAACTGTTTATTATTATTTTTTTTTATATAAGAAATAGAACAAAGTGTTTTCAAAGTTTGAGAATGAATTGAAAGCATTTATTTAATAAACGATATTTTTCATATTTTATCGATTTATGGGATATTTTTTCATATTTTATCGATTTATGCACGTTTTGAAGATGAACTCCCCAAATACACCAAATGCAAAACATTTATTATCAAAAGCTTTTCAAAATTATCAAACCAATTGGTTTGATAATTTTGATGAGAGGTGTAAATTGATTTGAATGAAATCAATACTTGAGTATGTAAAGACGTTTTAACTTTTCCAGTAAAGCATACGGCTTGATACCCTTTGCTTTTATATGAGTTTTCTTACATTAGAAAAGAAGAAGATTGGTTAATTATTAGTAAAATCCATTTGAAACGATTTTGACAACTTTGAAAACATTTGATAAAATATTCTTTTTAAAAAAATAGAAAAAGGATGAGAAACAAAGTTTGGAATAAGTTAAAGTATGTAAAGTATGTATGTAGATTTAACAAAGACTTGTCTCAGTTTTAGACGTGTATGCAATAAAATTAGATATTTTATCTTCATCCACAGGATTCATATTCTGTGTTAGAAAGACATAGTATGTTAATAGCTTCCTTTTAAAGTATTTTTATTATTGTTAAGGTTGTTATTAAAAGATGTTATGCAATATGTTACTTTATTAAATCTGAAAAATAACTGATTTTGTTTATAACAGATTTAAATTTTGATTTTAAATTCATTTTTTTATTCATCCGTCCATGCAAACTCATAAAACCTACTTTAAAGATAATTAAGTGTTTTTACATTCTTTTACTAACATGATTTTTTGGTCCGGTTTCTTCCGGTGTAATATCTGTATATACCAATCCAATACAAATTTATAAAATAGACTACAAAGTTATATTTTTAGTTAAATCAAGCTTCTTAAATGTTGACTCGTGAGAAATGCTTATGATCATTGTTTAAGTAAGTTAAGTCCAGTAGTCACCAATTCAAGTACTACTAAGTACCATTTTTAATCATAGTTAAGTTTAAATAAAAATAAGTAATAAATATAATAAAATATACAAACTATCTATTTTTTTACATGGTAAACAATATCTTTTAAAGAACTTTAAAATAAGATTAACAAACGAAAACCAATACAAAATTAATAAAACTTTTGTAAATATATTAAACACGTTTTAAAAATGAAAGACAATTTTTAAACTCAATTGCACCAAATTTAGTTTGCAAATAATTTGGATTTTTAATTTGGTTTTATATTACAATTTTGTCCATATCGGTATTCAAGCCTTAACATATCCGTAAAAAAATTCCATTAGTTGAGTTAATAAATTTATAAATAAGTTTAAACAATATTAAGTTAAAACTCTTCATGGAGCAGTTGACCCATTTTTGTTGCTTTGCTTCCAACAAAAACAAAGTAGTGAGAGAGAATTTCTTTCACGGTCAGTTTTCCATCCTGAAAATAAGTTTTGAAATATAATTCGTCTATAAAATATAATTTCATGTCTAATCCATCCACAAATACTAATTACAAAATCTAAGTTATAAAATGTACTCCCTCTATTCCGAAATACTATTCCGATTTGCATTCAACGTAAAAAAATTTTGAAAAATATATCATGTTATTTTTTACATAAATTTATTTATTTTTGAACATTTAATACTAATGGAGTATTTAATGTTCACAGTGCTCATAAAAATTAAATTTTATGTAAAAAAAACAACAAAAAAAAAAAATAGCAAAATTTATTTTTCAATAAATCTTTATGCTGAATGCAAATCGGAGCAGTATTTCTGAACAGAGTTAGTATTACGTAAAAAGTAATACACAAAATTCTGATTTATTTTTAATAAAAAGAGGTAATCTTTTAATGGAAAAATAAAACAAACACGCCTTTTTATATTTTCCGTAAACTACGTCACGCAACTTTTCATCGTTTTTGACCCTTCCCGCTCCCTCGTATTAATCCCTATATCCCTCGACCTAATATGGTTTTAACCATATTAGGTCGGGTAAATAAAAATGAGCAATTGCTTTTACTCAGTAACTGGTCTGCTTTACACAAATACAAATTTCAGCAGTTTGGCTCAAATTTTTATTCAAGTTAAGTTGAGCAATTTACTCAGTAATTGCTCAGCTTTACGTGAATAAAAACTTAAGGGAAATTCCTGAAGTTTTTTTTCAAGTAAAGCTGACCAATTACTGAGTAGAAGCAATTGCTTATTTTTATTAGCCCGACCTATTGTGCTTTATACATTAAATATGTTTGCTTAAACTAAAATATACTTAGAAACCTTGTTCAGCGTTAAAAAAAAAAAAAATGCGTTATCAGGAAAGGGGATTGTATCCCATATTTGTTTTGCAAAAAAAGTTTGGGAAAGAAAGAAAAAATACATAAAAACGTTTTTTGAATAAGCTTCTATTCTTTATCCAAACCTTGTTATCATCTGCCAGGTCAATTAAATGTTTTGCTTCTAATTCTGCTTTATCATACACTTCAGGAGTCATCCATTTAACAACTTCGTACTAAATTTTACAAAAACAATAGTTAATATAGCTAATCTAATATAGAAAAATAATAAATAAAGAAAAAATTGTTGTCTTACGTGATCAAGTTTCCCGTCACCGTCTTGATCATAAAGTTCACGAAATTGCTTTTCGTAGTAAGCTCTCATGTTTGGCATATGTATTGAAGCTAATTAAAAAAAAAATCAAAAAAGGTTTTGAAGTTTAACTATCTATTACGCAAGACAACGCTGCTTTTTAAAAGTGATTCTTTTTTGGTTTTATTGTTTAAAATAAAAATACTGATTACAGTCCTTTTCCGCTGGGAAAAACTGACTCGTAACTCTCGTACCCAATTATGCTACTTAAAATTAAGTTAATAACTTAAAAATGAACATAGTTCGACAAAGTAAAAAAATCAGATCAAAATATAAAAATGACTAATTTTCCTAAAATTGAACAAATCCAAGGATGCCTTTGGAATCCCATCAGATCAATTAAAGAATGCATAAGTGAGGCACTAACAGAATGGCTCAGAAAATTATTTAATTTTCCTATTATTCATAGACATCCACAAAATCGATGCCGGCATCACTTACTATACCGCCTGCTAAATCGTATAAAAAGTGATTAGTTATTCCAAATAACTACCGTCGGTAGTTATTTGGTACCGTGACATCATTAAGATTTATATGAAACTAATAGAATATGTTATTTTACTAATCTGTTCAGAAATAAAAAGGCGTATCCTCTTCATTTTGGTTTTACTAAAAATAGTACATTCTTAAATGCGGAACTCGTAATTTGTGAAATAATTAAATACTGCAACAACAACAAGTCATCTGCCTAAATCTGTACCCTAGATGCTAAAAAAATGTTTGATAGATGCAACTAAGACATTCTATTAGAGAAACTCTACAATAATAAAAAAATTAATGCTGTATATTGTAATATCAATATATGATAGTATGGTATTAAGGATATTCATATATGATAGTATGGTATTAAGAATATTCATATATGATAGTATGGTATTAACAATATACAGTATTAATCTTTTTATTATTGTAGAGTTTCTCCAATAGAATGTCTTAGTTGCAGTTATCAAACGTTTTTTCAGCATCTAGGGAAAAGATTAAGGCATGTTGGTTCTTGGAATGTTTTGTCAAAAAATGATACCTCCTACAGAATAGAAAAAGAATCTTCATCCTACCAAAATTGGAACTGCACTTTTAAGTCAAAGAGATTGTTTAAAGGAAAAAAACAATATTTGTACAAATGGTATCGGGTGTTCCTTCAAAATTAGAACTACAATATTACATTAATATGGAATTTTGCATGGTAATAACTTTTGAGCTCTACTACATTTAAAATGAAACTTAAAACCTGTCAATGAATTTAAATTTAGTACAACATACTAAAATTGAAAATTTTACTACATTAATGCCCACGTTTAAGCAGGGGGTGGAAGTTAAACCTTTTGGAGTATATTTATTCCGAAGCCTTATCATCACAATTTTATGCAAAGCATCATTTTTCTGCATAAGCATGAATATACTTATCTTCGGAATTTGCACAATGTGTGAAAATGTCATCTTGATTTCATCTGAAATATCTTTTGGGGGCCCACGACTGGAGTAATACCTATCATTTCAAACAAATGTAGAGTTTGACAAAGCTAAATAAAATTCGTCATCCAAAATAAAATCCTTCTTAAAAGTTTTTTATATAAACATCTGAATTAATTTGCAAGCAATTGCTCTTTGATGTTGAGACCGTTTGGCTAGTAATTTTCGGTGAACGTAGTTGATAGTTGTTTTAATAATCTATAAGTGTGCGTAGTCAAAATTTTTAATTTTTTGGCATTATATTAATGGTTGCTTCGCAATCAAATATTTGCTTCTCGACATAACGGAAATTATCTAGGAATATTAGGACTATTGGCCAAGTATGATTTATTTGAATTAGTTTATTTATAATGTTATGGTGATAAGGGTTCAGGAAAGTCCTCTTATATGTCCAAAACATTTTGTGATAAATTAAATCAATTGATGTCAGATAAAGTAAGGCATTCAATTCTAGATAGTTTAAATAACACAAGATGTTTGAGTTTATCTGTAGGTTCTTTAATGGTATTGCAATTCTTAGCTCCACCCTCTCTGGCCTCCAAAAGTTTAATAAAATTTTTAATACATAAACAAAAAAAATTGAATAAAAATTGAATTGAATAAGCATAAAATTGAATTTTGAAAAAACCGAGTTCTCGCTAACCAGAAAATATCAAATTAAAAACTGCAAAACAACACTGAATCACCAACAAATAAAACAAAACAGTAAACTTAGTAATCTAGCCTTAACAAGCGGTGGTAAAAGCTCACTTTTTGCCTCACTTAATTGTTAAAACCTTGATCACAGAATATTAAAGTTTTGGACAGTATTCCAAACTTTAGTTCAGTCTGGAACTAACCTGTTTTCTCACACAAGCTCTATTGTCCTCTAAGGTTATTTATAAAACCGTGGCTGTTCTTACACGTATTGTCTTAAGCTTTGTGAATATATAGAAGTTTAAAAAAAAAAGCTTGATTTTGTTGGAAGGAACGCATTGAAGTCACCCATAAACGCTTCAACATGGTAAAACTACATTCATTCCTTATCTTATATCCAGGATATATCAACAATCATACGGTAAAACAAACTAAACTTTATTTTTTAAAACAAACTAAAGTTTATTTATTAAACAAACTTATTTGTTCATCTGTTGAAAAATAAAATATGATTTGATATTATTAAATAGCTGTTGAAAAACCAAACAGCTCCACACAATATTTTTAGACGGTGTCAAGATTTAGTACAATAGTCATGAACAAAATCTAAACAAGATAATGTAAAACGAAAAAATTATTGTCTTAAAAAGGATCTTCAAGTTTTAAAAAGTGCTCGAACGTAAAGGAACAAAGAACAATCTTCAAAGATATTCATTAAGAAAATTCCAAGATAATCATGTTTCGAAAAAAATATTAAAAACAAAATTCCACAATTATCATTTAACGTTCATTTTTAATATTGTGGATGTTTAAATAAAATATAATAATAATAAATAATAATAATAATAATAATAATAAAGCTTGAAAAATTAACTTTAATTTGCTTTTTTTTAATACTTTTTTTTTAAGTAAAGTTTATTACACGGCACCAAACAAAACATTTTCAGTAAAAACCGTATACTTTTTCCAGCTGAGTTAAACCGAGCTCCAGGACAATTGTATGTAGTTCCTTAATAAATGTATTAGTGAAACAGACACTGCACCCCGTTTTACAATCGAGAATTAGATTTAAATAATCGCAATTTTTGTAAACATATGATTTACAAAATTACACATTACACAAGATTACACATTACACAAAGTTACATATAATTCTTAACCAAATTTTTGTTATACTTGTATATTGCAATAACTTGTTTTTAAGTCTGTAAAAATATTAAAACTTTTTCTATTATTGTTAATTAAACTCACCTATAAATTCTTCTAGCGAAAGTTTACCATCTTTATCTAAATCATATTCTTTTATTTCCTCCTGCGAAAGAAAAAAAAAATCAAATCTTAAACATAATGGTGATAACTTGGTATAGAGTAGGTTTTAGTGTTAACTTGGTATTGACAAAGTTCAATATATATAGCTGAGTATTAATAAAAACATAATAATAAGATAATAAGCTTCATTTGAACTTTACAAATTTAATTTAACAAAAAATACAGAAAAATTTCTTGGATTTGATAATTCTTACTCAGTTTGGATACAGAACTCGTACGGCGCTAGGAAGACAGTAAATTTTGTTTATCGAAAAACAATCATCATACGTTTTACAGGCGTTTCATTTGGACGTCTGTTTTATGGATACGTTTTTGTCGATCAAAACAGATCAAAAATATTTTTATATTCATTTTTTTACTAATTTTCGGTTTTGGTTCTAAATTATTTTAAATAAATGAAATAAAATCATATTACATTCACCTTAATTATTTAACATTAGTTTCCTTTTAATCTTTTTCAAACAACTAAAATTTATAAAACGTTTGCGTGAAGCGAAATTAAGATATCTGACAATAAATAAGTCACTTTGATTTAGTGGCTAATTAGCGTTACTCATAGACTTACAGTTTTAAAATGTCTAATGCAATCACAGTAAGCGAGACTGCAATAATAAGACATTTTAAACCATTTTATTAAAATAAACAATTAATATATCAAAGAAATACGCGTATTTCATTAAAATGATGTTACCTGGGCAACTATTGTAATCATATGAGCATATTTTTTAGGAGATTGAAACATCGCATATTCTTCTTCATTTAACTGGGTATCTTTATCTAAGTCAGCATGCTCCCATCGCAACTTATCACGAGATATGAATTCTGACAAATGTTCTTTCATTATAGCGGTTAAAGAATCATTAGCTACATTTAAAGTAAGAATTAAGCTGTTTGATATTTATATTGCGTACATAAGATAAAACGTGAAGATGTAAAAATTTATCTTATTTAAGAAATAGAAAAAAAAGTTTAAAAAAAGTTTTGTGGCAAAAATGTTTAAGGGTTTGTTTACCAACAATACCATAAGTAGTGCTAGCAGCTACCCTCGCAATTACCACTAAAAAATAAGTAGAGATTAGCTTACCAAAGAATATAAAAGCGAGTTATTACCATTGTTGTTTATTCGATTTTTTCCCCACTGATACTCGTCCCAGTCAATTTTACTGTTAAAGTTGTGATCAACTTCATTAAACACAGCGTCATTAAGTGAAATATCAACAAGAGATTCGTACTTATCTTGAACCCAAATCTTGAGCTCTTCATTTGTTATGTATTGATCTTTGTTAATGTCTATATGAGGCAGTAGAAGCCTAAAGAAAGTTGTGATTATTTGTAGAAACCATTATTTAAAAAATTATTACTTTTGAATAAAAAGACAAAACAACTAACCACCTTTATAAAAAAAAAAAATATACGAGTAATAAGAGTGAAAATAAAAAAAATGATTGTATTATAGCGAACTTCACTGAAAATACTATTTCTGTTTTGCGACGCATATATGCAAAGTTATCAGATCATTAATTATATTTATTATAATAAATTTTGATTAAAAATGCATATTCAAATAATTGTAGACTGTTTTACGTTGATTTTTTAAATCAAATTAAAAAAACTAGTAATTAATGTTAAGTTAAATGAACTTTTAGAATTTTTTTAAACTTAAAAGTTTCGATAATTCTTGGACACCAGCCAATAAAACAACTCTCAAAATCACCCCATTTTGTTTTTAGAAGATTAAAAAAAAAAAGTCAGTAATAATTAGCTTAGTTTAGTTTGTTTAGTAATCGATCATAAAATTAAATTAACAACAAAAAATTAAAGCCAAAAATAAAAATAAAATGATCGATGAAGAGGGGCAGCTCCAGGCCCCTCTGTTCTGACAGTCTAGTGCTGCATATAAAGCAGCTATAGTTAGATAAAAAAGTTTTTAAAGCAGTTGACACTTTGCGCATCAATAATTTTTTGCGGGAGAGCGTTCCAGTGAAGTACAATTCGATTTGTAAAAAAATGTTCTCTTTCATTACAATGATTTACTCTTTGTTTACCAAGGCTCTGACTGCGACTTCAAAAATTGTAATTCAGTCTAGCTAAGTGTTGTGTCTGTTGTACATAAAAAAAGATTTCGTCAATGTTTCGAGTGATTTTAAATTGCTGAATTAGAGCGACCTAATTCAGCAATTTAAAATCACTCGTGTTTTGCGGTCTTAAAGAGTTGTTAAACCTAACATTTGCAATCTTTGAGCGTATGATAAATGCTTTAATAGTGCAACCGTTTTTGTTGCACGCTTCTGCACTTTTTCTAGTGTTTCAATGTCGCGTTTTAGAAACGGCGACTATGCATACAACGTTTTAGAAACGGCGGCCATGTATACATATACAATGTTCTCCAAACAACGACTGCGGAATGCTTTTTTCAGCCTACCAAGTACTTGATTGGCCGTTGAGTCTGCTGTCTCAACTTGATTTTAAAGTTTTAAGTTATCTGAGACTATGACACCAAGGTCTCTATCGTTTTTTGTCACTGGAAGTTCTATTCGTGATCCGTCATCTCCGCACATTGAATATAGTTGTGTTGAACTTTTGGTTCCACGACCTATGTGCATTACTTTGCATTTTGCCACGTTGAAAGGCATGCGCCAAACTGTGAACCACTCCACGGCTTTGTCTATGTCATTTTGTATAATTGAACTGTCATTTTTAGATTTGATGATGCCAATGATTTTTCTATCATCTGCATAAAATTTGATGTGATGCGCAATGTTGTTTGGAAGATTGTTGATAAAAAGGACAAATATTAATGGTCCTAAAACCGAATCTTATGGAATTCCACTTGATACAAATACCCAGTTTGATATATGTCCTTTCATGACTACACGTTGTTTGCGATCTGAAAGCCACGCTTTGATCCAATTCAACAATGTACCACATATACTGAGCACCCTCAGTTTGTGTAGCAAGCGTCAATGAGGAATTTTATCAAATGTTTTAGCGAAGTCTGTATAAATGATGTCGGCAGCGTAACCCAGGTGAATAGCCTGTGTCAGGATGTCACGTGCCTCCAGGAGATTGGCTGTGCAGCCTCGCTTGCGTAAAAAACCATGATGAGCTTTTGAAAGCAATTTATTGACAACGCAATGAGACATAACTCAATCGTGAATAATTCCTTCTTGGATTTTGCAGACAATTGAGGTTAGAGATACCGGTCTGTAGTTCCAAACATCAACTTTGCTTCCTTTTTTAAAAACTGGCGTTATATTTGATTTTCTCCATAGATTCGGGACTTCTTCCATTGCGATTGATTTCTTGAAAATAAGCGCTATTGGAGGTGCAAAAGCAGCTGCACAATTTTTCAAGATGCGTAAATAAACACCGTTGCAACCCGTTAATTTAGTTTTAACTAGATCTTTAAACCGTTTTTCTACCTCTTTGACTGTTATGACACTTTCAAGTAGAGTAAATTTGAATTCTGTTTACTTGTCAAGCTGTGGCATATGGCCTTCAAGTTCAACATCGAAGACTGAAAAATTTGTTTAATATTTTGCATATAAAGGTGTTTTCAGTTGTAGTAGATCCGCCTGGTATTTTGATGTACCTGATACAATCTTGAACGTGTTGCTTATTTTGCATGTGTGCATGAAGAAGTTTTTGATTGTTTTTCTCTAACAAGTTTTTCCTCGTAAGTTAATATTGCCGACTTCACTACTTTAGCTACATTTTTGGATGCAGCCAAATGTGCCTCGCAAAGTGCCAGATGAGTACGTCTACCAGACGCTCGATATTTTGCCCTAAGTTTGTGCTTCATGTCGACTACAGCAATAACGTCTGGTGTGATCCAGTTTTTTTTTTTTTGCTGCAAAAGGCGTCATTGTTGTTGGAATGTGGAGCGTAACTGCTTCATTGTATTTTTTTAACAAAAATCTTGTAGCTTTGATCTGTAGAGCAACCATAAAAAACTTCATTCCAATTGATAGCTTTTATATGCAGAGATAACGACTCGTAATCTGCCTTACTCCAGATTAGACGCCCGTTTTTTGATAACGCATGAGTGTAGAGACCAGTCATGGCCGTTGTGCCCTTAATAAGACAATGCGACTGTCCCATTAGCGTGTTTCCGAGAGAGTCGGACTCTGAAACATCATGTATTCGGTTCGATTCGCTGCTGATTATTAGGTCAAGAGTTGTTTTTAATACAAGGCGCGATTGGCGGTACAATACAAGGCGCGTTTGGCGGTACAATACAAGGCGCGATTGGCGGTACATAGGGAAAGTTACCGATTGTGTCAAATGTGCTTCTGCAAGGCATTCTTGAAACTTCAAGTCTTGAGACCGTCCATTAATCACGTGGCCAGCAGTTGCCACCCCACCCCCAATGTTGATAGGCTCATACCACGTGTGGCTAAAATTAAAATTGCCATAAAGAAGCATAGCTGTATAATTTTTTATAACTAGTGCGTTCTTTGCTGCGGCTATAGATGCAATGACTTTGTCAAGTACTATGTCGTTGTAATCATGAGGCCTGTAAATGCAGTTTAGAAAGAATGATTCGCTTCCGTACTTTATTATTCTCCACACTTGTTCTATTGAATAATAATTTAGTTGCTTAATGCTGAATTCTGACGCCATCAAGTTGTCTTTCGTGTAGATGAGATTTTGATGTAGATTCCGTGTAGATAATATTGTCTCTCAGTATTTTAATTTTTCACCTTTACTAAAATCTTTTATTACAACTATAGCATTTGCAGCAATAACTAACTGCAACTTTTATGTAACTGAATACATTATCTTTAAGTTTATATATTTAAACCGGTGTTCATAAATCATAATTTTATAAAAATATTCCGTTAAAATATAAAGGATAAAATCTAAACATCTATATTAAATTAAGAAAAATAAAATAGAAGCATAAATGAGCTAAAGATTTTTTGATTTGCTGTATATCACTTCTAGAAACTTCTCATAACCTTTTACTCATATACTTTCTTTAATTGAAGCAAAAGAAACGGACCAAAAGAAACGGTAAAGAAAGTTTCCGATTCTTTCTTCTTTATTTTTTGATCTTCTCTTGTTTTATTTAATTTTCTTAATTATATCTCAAATCTTTTGCTTTTATTCTTCCTCTTTTTTCCTGCTTTTTTTTTCTTCATCCTCTTTTATATATTTCATTTCCAAATCTTAATCACTAGCAAAAACTCCACAATTGATTTTTTTATATCGTCTGTTTGATTTGCGGATAACTGGTTTTAGAAATTTTGCGCATACTGAGTTGAAATTGAAGAAACTGGAACTTCCGCTTTATTATGAAATGGTGATAAAAATATATAAAGCAACTTCACAATGTCACCAAGACCTCAAAAGATTCATTTTGACTTTATATATTCATGGAATTTTGATATATATATATATATATATATATATATATATATATATATATATATATATATATATATATATATATATATATATATATATATATATATATATTGTCGAAACGTTGTATTTTAAGTTGATACAACGTTATATTTTACACTACGTTTTATTTATTTATATCTATTAAATTTTATTTATAATTAAATTATTATGTGTTATCTATTAATAAATATATATATATATATATATATATATATATATATATATATATATATATATATATATATATATATATATATATATATATATATATATATATATTGTCGAAACGTTGTATTTTAAGTTGATACAACGTTATATTTTACACTACGTTTTATTTATTTATATCTATTAAATTTTATTTATAATTAAATTATTATGTGTTATCTATTAATAAATATATATATATATATATATATATATATATATATATATATATATATATATATATATATATATATATATATATATATATATATATATATATATATATGTATATTAATAGATAACACATAATAATTTAAATATAAATAAAATTTAATAGATATAAATAAATAAAACGTAGTGTAAAATATAACGTTGTATCAACTTAAAATACAACGTTTCGACAACGTAAAACACAATATTGGACCAACTTAAAATACAACCTTGAATCAACGTAGAATATTACGCAATTCTGACTTAAAATATAACGTTGAGCCAACTTTTTTTTTTGGTTGTTGGCGACGACGTCTTTGTAACTAAAATGATATAAAAGCAACGTGTTGGCGGTCGAAGTTGGACCAACGCAACGCGCAACATTGTTCTAACGTTTTATCAACGTGTTTGAGCTAGCTGGGCTGGAAACAAAAATTTGCAGCCCTAATCCCTAATGTGAGAATAATGAGTTAATAAAATATTTTAAAATGCTATCTTATACTAAACTTAAATTTATCGACAGGTTTTAAATTTTTATTTAACAATCATTTAGTTTTCATAAGTTATGACATCATGTGAACTCATCATCCTATTATAGACATAACAGTTTTTTCAAAAAAACTGTTATGACTATTTTCATTGGACATACGAACTAAGTTCTTCAATTGATCAATTTTAATTCGTTTTCTTTCATTTTTAAAATAATTTCCTATCGATCTTATTTTAAGGAATAATATCAAACTTTTAAGAAAAGAAAAAAAAAATTCAGGTTTTATATATATATATATATATATATATATATATATATATATATATATATATATATATATATATATATATATATATATATATATATATATATATATATATATATATATATATATATATATATATATATATATATATATATATATATATATATATATATATATATATATATATATATATATATTATTTGTGTTTATTTATTTAAAAAAATGATATCTTTGTATGATAAGGTTATATAAGATTTGTATGATTTTTAAAATTTTCAAAAAAAACTCAAAGCAGCATTTTTAAATTAACAATAATGTTGTCTAACAAACCACAACAAGTTACAGTATCTAACAACTTTCTATAGTAAACTTATTTTTAACATTTTGATTTATACCTCAATCTTCGTTTTGATTCTTCTGAAGAAAGATTATCGTATTCTTTTTTAAATGCTCCTAGAAACGCTTCATGATCAGATTCCCTGTTATAAGCTTCAATCAAGTTTAAATAATAAAAAAACGTGATGCTCGAGTAAAGTTGTACTGTAAAGCTAATAACGGCTACCATAGTTTATTCGAGCTTCATGCGTTAAACCAGAAAAACATACAAGTTAACCTTACTCAAAATTTTCAGCTGATAAAACAGCTTATTGCTACTTAAACTAAAATACAAATACAATCTTTTTTACTTCTATTATACAAAAACAAATATTAATTGCTATCAGTAATGCAAACACACGGGTATTTTACATTCAAGTATTTTAAACCATTATGAAACTTCAGTCAAAAAAGAAGTAGAATTAGAAGTAGGTTAGAAGTAGGTTAGAAGTAGGTTAGAAGTAGGTATGTCGCTTGTTATTAAAAAAGGAACAAAATTAGGTAATTTTTTAAGCTGTCTTTGTTCAGAAAAATTATTGTTGCTATATTATTTTTTTTCTTGGAAGAAAGGTTTTATATATATATATATATATATATATATATATATATATATATATATATATGTATATATATATATATATATATATATATATATATATTATATAAGTATATTGTACAAATAGAGTGCTCAATGTTCTTCAAAAACAAAGCAATAATAAATTAGTAAAAACACTTATCTAATTTTTTTCTTCTACAAATTGTTTCACCATCAGTAGGTTCATCAGTAGGTCCATCATTAGTTTCTTCCTGATAAACCAACTGATGGTGAAACAATTTGTTGAAGAAAAAAATCAGATAAATCTTTTTACTAATTTATTATTGCTCTGTTTTTGAAGAACATTGAGCACTCTATTTGTAGAATACACTAACATATTATATATATATGTATTTATATGCATATATAGAGTGGTCTAAGAAACCATACTGAAAATTTAAGTTTATAGAGTCAGTGCTCCACATGGCCTACTTTTATTTATTGAGTATAGATATTTGGCCTGAAAGAATTTAGGTCAAATTCATTTGTCAACCCATTATCAATATTACTTGTCTGGCGTCCGCGTTTGCGATTTCCGTATGACTTTGATTGGACGGGAGTTTATAAATTAATTTACTTACTTGTATGCAGAATTTTAATGTGCTAAAAATTTTTTTATTATACAGAAGTTACTGTTATTGAATTACTATTAAACTGACATTAAACTAAAATATTAACTCTTCAACTAATAAACTATAAACTAAACTATAAAAAGGCATCAACCGGTTTGAGATCCATTCCAGAGCACATCTACAGCATTTATCGACAACATTTCTCTACAGCAGAGCATTGGCTTATTGGAAAACCAATCTACAGCATTTATCTACAGCAAGGCAATTGGAAAGCCAATCTACAGCCAATCTATTTATCTACATCAAGATTAACACGTACACTGGATGTGCTTTAACTGCGCCAGTTTCATTATTTAAGTGAAAGACAAGCCCTTCTGAAAGTTATAAAGTGTCTTGTGATACAGTTATATATATTTAGATGCAAGCCAAGATTCTAACACAGCGGGTTGACTCATGTGTCAGAAAATTGTCAACGCTGCATCAGAACTATCAGACTTTAAAGGTACATAGATTACGACAACGCGAAAGCGACAGGATGAAAGAAAACATGTTTAAAGGTGACCTTGAAGAATTAATTGATAATGCTACAAAGGACGTGAAATACAGAACGAAGAAGAATTCCTTTGCATGTAAAGAAAAGATGTTTTTTCTTTCAGCATGAGTAGATTAGATGTAAAGACAGCAGCAAAAGAAAACAGAAAAAGGCAACAAGAGGAAAGGTAAAAATGAGATATGAACATCGCATGACAAAGAAAGTTAATCAAACAGAAGGTAACATATAGTCCGAAATCACAAGATAGTGAGGAGTATAAGCCAACTCAAACTTAGCCATGTACGTTAACAGCGTCAACATCAGCAGATTCAACAGCTTTTGCTTCGTCATCTAAAGAGAATTTTTAGAATATCTTCGAGTCGTTTGAATTTGTCGGTGTTTTACATTTTAATATTTGCCTTCCAGACCGTAAAACTCTGTCGTTACCAAAGCTGTTGCCCAAGCGCTAAACAATGACATTTCAGTAGTAACATTATCTCGAAGTTCATAGAGACAATCAAAAATAAAAGCAATACCACGGGATGCTGCAATAGATGAAAAATAATTTTCTTTGATGGATCAAAGGAAAATGTGAATTGCGTAGCTGTTATCGTTAATGGGAATGGCGAGAAAAAATTGCTGGCTATTCCATAAAAGGATAGAGAAATAGGAGAAGCAAATGCCTGTATTAAAGTAAATGAGACTTAGAATCTGTTTTCACAGATCAAAGGCCTTGTTTTCGATACAACAGCTAGCAATACAGAGCTTCATAATAGCGCATGTGTTAGAATTGAAAAAGCTCTGGGAACTAAAATGGTCTGGATTACATGCCGTCATTACGTCATGGAAGTTGTCCTTTAAAATGTTTTCACATCTTTGTTTGCTACAATTGAAGGTCCATCAACTGCAATTTTCAATCAATTTCAGAAACAATGATCATCAATGTTTATTGTACAGCAACCGATGAACTGTTTCAGGATTTAATATTGAATGCGACAGGACCTAATAGTCTATTTGCCAGCTGCTCTTAAAACACAGCAGCCAAGAGACGATTATCGGGAATTTTTACGTTTATCCTTCTAGTTCTTGTTGAATACAAGGCAGCTAGAAATTTCGAGTTCCCGGTCCAACACAACACGCGCAATAAATACTTACGCACAGAAAATCTTTCTTTTTTAAAAAATCAGTTCAAATCTACTGCTCGTGAATCCAAGAATATCACAGGTTTGGCAACAAGACTGCTCTTTTTGGATAGTATTTCAGATTTGACTGACTTTTTGTCAAATTTGAAGTACTATCCGAACACACTGGGAAAGAACGTGGAACAGAAGCAGTTTGTTTTTCTATTGATTGCAAACGATTGTAAGAGTTTCCCAGTTCCATCAAAGATATCACTTATGTCGTAATTATCCACTGCCAAACAATTTATGTAAAAACTGTATAAAAAACTATATAAAAACTCTGATTGTAAATTTTTCGTTAAAAAGTTAATTGCTTAATTTTAATTAAATTTAAATTTTTAATTTTAATTTTAAAATCGATAGTCAAAAAACTGTTAAATAGGTTGACCTCTAAATATTATTTGCACAATAAAAATTTTCATTAAAATTTTAGGCCGATGCTATTCGCACGGCCGCCGTGTTCTAATTCTAAAAAGGCTATTCGCACGGCCGCCGTGTTCTCCAATTCTAAAAAAGCTATTCGCACAGTCGCAAAATTAAATTTTGCAACCAATTTTTGAGTCACTTCCTGATGATAGATTTTCTTCAAATTTTGCAAATCTTGCTTGATGACAATACAATATTTAATAATTAGTTTTTCAATAAGTTAACTAATTTAGTTAATTTTAATTAAATTTATTTTTTATATGGAAAGAAGAATTCAAAATTTATAAATAAGTATACTAATTGTTTAAATACTTTAATGCACGTGTAGCTTATTTGGTAAAGCCGTCTACTTTGTAAACTAAAGGTTAGTGGTTCAAGTTTTGCCTCTTCCTGGATATTTTTTGTTATTTTACACACACATACAGCCGAATGTTAATAAAATAAATAAAACAAAACAGTATTATCAGAAAAAACTTATTGCAAAATTTGTATTTTCAAAACATATAAAAGCAGTGGGTTTTAATAATAAGTTTTTAATTTTACTTGTTCTTTTCGCGTTTTTTTAACAAATTTTTTAGAATTCTATGTAATTACCAAAGCTGTCATTTTCTTTCAGATCTTCCTTTTCAGCTTTTAATTTGTTTTGTTGTTACGGTGCAGTCCTATTTCAAATTTCGCCAATTTGACTGTGCAAACACCTTTTCTTAACTGTTCATATGGCAGCCGTGCCAATAGTCTTTTTTAGAAGTTGTACGCGGCGGCCGTGCCAATAGACACTATCAAAATTTTGCACAATTGTTGATTTATGAGCTTTTATAGCGCCATACAGTCGTGAATGATTTATTCATTTTTCTTTTCTTTTCTAGGTATATCGTATAAAATATACATTTATTATCGTGATAAAAAGAAAATACATATACAAAATTATTATGTATCAGATTGATAAAAATAGATTAATATAATATTGATACATTAATATAGTATTGATGCAAACTTTAATATAAATTCTGGTATAATAACTATTATAAATATATATATATATATATATTTGCTTTATATAATTAGCTTTGTAATAGTAATTACAAAGCTAATTATATAAAGCAAATATATATATATATGTAATCCTTATGATTGCAAAATATATATATATATATATATATATATATATATATATATATATATATATATATATATATATATATATATATATATATATATCTTTATGATTGCAATATATATATATATATTTATATATATATATATATATATATATAAATATATATATATATATATATAATATATATATATATATATATATATATATATATATATATATATATATATATATATATATATATATATATATATATATATATATATATTGCAATCATAAGGATTTAAGGATTGCAGTCCCAAGGGTTTAATTAACAGTCCAATCATAAGGTTTGTAGTCATAAGGATTTAATTTAAAATAAGTTTTTTTTTTATCGAATTTGTTTTGCTTTCGTATTTTACGTAAAAACTTCTGGAATTTTGTCGTGATGTTTTGTGTAGACTCATAATTGAAAGTTAACGATTTTTAAATTTTATCATCCAATTTCTGAAAAGCATCTGGTTCTTTATTTACGACAAATCCTTTTTCATATTTTATTTACAGATTTTTTTTATTTTTTCATTTATGCCAGTTAAGTCAAAAAAAAAACAACTGAAAACATTATTCTAAGTTTATCAATCCAATGATTACTTCAAATAATTACTCAATAAAGCATCAATGGTAACACCCTAGACCCGCCTCTGCAGAGGATATTGTAGAAAGGACAATGTGCATTCTTATTAAAACTTCTTTTATTTCATTAATATCAACTCCTTTTATTTCATTGCTATTAACATCATTGCTATTACCAAAGCTTACTTTGAGCAGGTCAACAACGAGACTCAACTTTTCTCTGAACTTTGATTTAATAAAATTCTTCTTTAAATTTACAGTAGGCTTCTCTTTTTCAAATCTGACTTGAAACTTCTGAATTTCATTGAAATTCAAATCTTGAATTTCACAACCTAAATGTAAGATTAGTTCAAAAGATCTTATCCAACAGCCAAATTTAAAGTAGTTTAAAGGCTTTCTCATTTACAGACATTTTTTTTAACTAAATCTACATCATTCATTTCTTTGGGCTTGAAAAGTTGTTTGGGCTAGAACCACACACATTACAAAACTGAGTTGACTTTGTGCCAGTCAATGAATTTATTACTTTTCCATCAAACATGGTCATATCAATTTTAAAAGTAATCTTAACAGTTTTTACTGTACAAGCAACATTCAAATCTGTGAAGAAAAGTTTTAACTGACTCATTTTGGTCTGAAGAATTCTTCTTTGCACAACTCTGATGTCTTTTGTTTTTATCGCAGGTGAAGAAGTTTACAAAAGTGGCAGCTAGAGCTTTGAGAACTTTTTACAAAAGTCAATGTTTTCAACTTTAAACAGAAGAGGTACAATTGCTGTGCTAAACATCTTCTTGCTTTGAATCTTCATTAAAGTTAAAGATATCAAATATTTGCTTGTAAATACTTTGACTTGAAGTGGGTACGTGAGTAAAAATTTCAAATTGTTTGAATAAGATAATGTTATATATCATTAGAAAGAAGATTGTTACAGTATTTTAAAAGTGAAAAAATTATTATAATCGAACAATTGGTTCAAAAGTTATGACGGTTTAAGTACCGATTTTTTCTATATAAGGATTTGTTGAAGAAACTGTGGTCAAAATTATGTTTTCCTTTACTTAAATAGTCATAACTTTGTCAATTCTTATCAAAAACAAATATCTTGGTATCAAAAGATAGGTGTAAAGGTGGGCTACAACTTTATGTTAAACTCTAACCACCAGACGTATCGGATGGACAGAGGGGGCACCAAACCACCACCTTGCTCATGTGAAACTAAACACTTTTTTCAAAAAAGAAGTTTTTTTTAAGACATAAGAAATATAAATAAACAAAATTTTTTTTTTAAATTTATACTAAACCAAAATATATGAGAGGTGTTTGTTAGCAATAGAGGTGGGTGTGGTGGTGATGGTTTAATACACCCTTGTATCAAAAACGACTTGATTTTATAAAAATTTATATTTTTACTAAAATGAGTAAAATTAGTATACAATATAAAATTATGTTATACAAGATCTTACGTATACAAGTGGTGTTTCTATTACGGGAGGAACGTATCTATGCCTCCTCCCTAACCTAAATAATAATAAAAAAAAATGCAATTACTGTTTTCAAAATTTGAATAATAAATTTAAAAAAATATTATGAAATTGGAAATAATTTAAAAAATAAATTTATACCAGACAACCACCAAATAGGAAAGATGATTGTAAAACTCAAAGTAGATATGTTGATGATGTTTTAGTACTAAAATATCAAAAAAAAAATCAATTCTTGAAATATCTGATTGAATATTTAAAGTACAACAACAAAGAATTAAAAAACATACTCCACTAGATTAAAAGATACATAAGTGATACATCCATGGTCATAAAAGAGTGGAGAATAAGGGAGGGCCTATCCGGATATATCATAAGGGAAAGGGGAATTCTAATGTCCCTTCCCCTTCTAACCAAAAATTATTATTTAATTGGATGTATATTACTAAAAAAATTATACAACTATTGTGATGCTATAATTATAAGTCAATTGGCTGTAAAAAACATGTCATCTTTATAACCAAGTATAGCAAATACCTATATTTAAGTCTTTTATGTAATTATTACATAAACAGAAGCATGGCTCATACAGTATCGTTAACCATTCTGTATGGGCCATACTTCTGTTAATAGCCATTTTGTTTGGTTAACAAATAAATTTACTGTTTCAAAATAAATTATAAAACATTAAAATAAAAAAAAAAGTTTTTAAAATTATCTTAAAGATAACTTAATATATTTTTACCTTGGATTTTAGTGAATGATTAAAATGATTAATTTCAGTAGTGAAACTATATTTTAATTATTTTTAAAGACAGACACCACGTGAAAGCCAGAACCGTCTATCAAAAAATTTAACAAATCACAATACTTGCTATATAATTTAGGCAAGTCACAACTCTATTCTAATGTCCCTTGCAATACATTTTTGGCAAGTTACAACACTTGTTGTATTATTTATGCAAGTCAAAACATTAGCTATATAACTTAAGCAAGTCATAACAAGTTACAAAATACCTTACCAGTTTGAACAGATAGACATAAAAAAAAAACTTCAAAAAACTTCAAAAAAAAAGTAATAAACAAAAAAAAAAATTTAGAAATTATTTTGCCATATAAATTATTTTGAAATGTCATAATATATAAACCTTACCAAGTGCAACAGATGAAAAGACAATATTAAATAATAAAACGACACAAAAGATTAAAAAGTACATATAAATATTAATTTGCAAGTTTTTTCTTACCCATTAACCAGGTAATTTTCAAATTTACCGGGGTAATATTAAAAATATAATTTAAAAAGCCCTCAAAATGTTAGAGATCAATTTATGGCAGAGTATGGTAAAATTATCACCATAATTAAGCAAGACATTGAAAAATTCAAGAAGAAGGAGGTCGTTTTTCTACAAGCTTTGACAAATCGACTTCAGTGAGAAACCGTTGTTTTATGAATTTGAACTTACATGGTTTAGATGGCTTTCAATCTTTAGGAATGATCCGTGTCAACGGAAGCATGAACACTGAAAAAAGCTATTCAACTTTTTAAGTCAAGTTTGTCTGAATTCTAATTGGATTTGGACAACATTGTAGCAACAATCACTGAACGTGCGAGTGTTATGATGAAATTCAGGAAAAAGACCAGTCCCATTCATGTTGGCTGTCTTGCCCATGTAGTCTATCTTTCTGTTTGCAATATACTTTAGAAACCTTATAAGATAAACGATGATTTAATTTATGATGAGTATTTTTCATTATTAGGTTACATGTATTATACATAAAAGTTGAATAGTTTCACTAACATATATTAGTTATATATGACCATATTTTATTTATATAATTTATTACAGTTGAAAGATTAACAGTCAATTATTAAAAAAAAAAGATTAACAGTGAATCACTGTTAATCTTTTTTTTTATATTTTATTAAATATCTAGTAATATAATAGTATCAGAATTCAAAAATCTAGACTTTTTTTTTAATAATTCACTGAGTGAATTATTAAAAAAAAAGTCTAGATTTTAACTAGACTTGTTTAGAAAAAGATCCATGATACAACGAGTAGTATTGCAGTTTTTATTGGAGAGACTTACAATGTAAGATAAAATATGTTATAATATTAGTAATGTCTTTAAACTTCAAAGTAAAGAAACATTAAAACTCATTTAATAACTTTACATTAAGGCCAAACAATTTCTTTTTAAAATTTTAATAAATAAGAAACAATATTGAAAACCTTTATCATTATCTCAACTTTCTATTTTATGTAATCTAAAAAAAACTGAAAATGTTATTTAATCTAAATAAAATATAAAAAATGTTTAGTTAACCCCTCTCTCTCCCGCGCCTCTTTCAGCAAAATGAAAATTAGGTACCAAAAGTGCGACAAAAAATAGACACCCTGCTACAACTTTTTTTCAATTAAATTTTCCAGGTGAATAGATAAATGAAAAACTTCAATGAAAGAATAGTATAGAAAAAAAAAGAGCATATCTTCAACATTAATTTCATGCCCAAAGTACAACAAAGTTTTAGACATAAAAAAACTCTATAAAAAAGCTATTTAGTTAAATAATAAACCCAACAGTAATAAAGTTTAACTATTCTAGTTTCCAAAAATAATCTATGTTGATATCAAATTCTTAAAAATTTAAAAATAAACACGTTTACCCTACGCTAACTAAAAAAAATTCTAAAAAGCGTGGCACAGTTTTTTAGCACAAAAATCGGTTCCGTAAAACGCGTATTTTCACGTACCTACTTGAAGCTCCATCAAATCCAATTTTTACATATAAAATTCCATTCATCTCAACTTTACAACTCTCCTATAAATCAATCATATCTATAATCCTAGTAACTGTATGATTTAGTAACTGTAACTAGTAACTGTATGATTCACCTTCAGGATAACATTTCAGCTTTTCTTCACCAAGCTTATTAAGACTAGAATTATTTTTTACATTGTGTGTAAGGGCTAAATTTCTCAACATTTGGTATTGTAAATCACTTAAGTCAGTTTGCGTTTTTAGAGCAAGAGCCTCCTTTAGTTTCATAGTTGTTTGAGTCAAGGAATCAATAGTTCTTCTCATCTGAGTTACATCAACACATTTAGAAGTTCTTTTCAAAATAAAAGCTGAATCGTTTTCTTCTACTGCTTTAGCACTTTTTGATGCAGCAAGGAATAGAGCTACACGGTGTTCATAGCTAAATCTGCAATCTTTGCTCTTTAACTTTTTTCACAAAAATTTCCCCATTCCTTAAATAAAGTTATTTGCTTCAGATTTGCGAATTTTTAAAAATAGATCTAACCTTTTATTTCACTTTTAAAGCTTAATTTCTTTATTACTAAATAATATTATGATAAAACTTCTTTAATTTTCAAAATATAAAATAAATACTAAATTGCATATTATTATTAAACAAACGTCCGAAAACTGTTTTTAAATCGAAAAGGGAGAGACGGGTGTTGCATTTGACAAAACTATGCATGAATCTATTTTAAATATCTCTTTAAGGACAGGATGGTTGCAGCAAATACTATAGAATTTACTTGGCTATAGTTTAGTGTTTGTTTTTTTTGTTATTTAGGTGCCCCAAGAAGATCTAAGGGGCTGTCCGTTAATTACGTCAACAATTTGTCAAACTTCCAGAGACTCCCGATAAAATTACGTCAACTTTTGATTCCCCCCCCCCCCCCCCCTATATAAAGTAACTACGTTACAAACTCAGCCTAATTTTTTCGTTATTTCAGCAATGAAACTCGAAAAAAAAAAATTGTTGACGTCAACTTTAATTGACCTCCCCTGTGTCAACAATTGTCAAAAAAGTTCAGTCCCCCCTCCCCCTATTTTGTTGACATAATTAATGGACAACCCATAACGGTCTTGTCACAGAGCATCGCGGAAGTGCATTTAATCAGGAAGTTCTCGCCTGCGACGCAAAAATTTGCCCAAAGGTTGTTTCGAACCTGAATCTCCTGCGTACAAAGCAAGCCGCACTAACCACTGCGCCACTGCCGCAATGTGGTTCTACTAAAACTGAACTTAAAAAAAAGGTTTTTTTTTGGCTGGTACTTATGTTTAAACTTGTGTACTAAAAGTTTAATTTTTAAAAGAAAAATTAAAAAGAATTTGTTTTTTAAATCTGAAGAAAAAAAAGAAAATAAATTTTAAGTATCTAAGCACTCATTACTTTAACAAAAATAATAATAAAGATTTGTATGAAGGTGGAAAATAAAGTTGCTTACAAGTAGAGCCGTCCTTAGGGTAGCTCGAGTGGAGCATCCTAAATACGAACAATCAAAACTTTTACTTATTGTTAAGGCCTCACTCAGCAACGCCTTACTCTTGTTAAAAAATAAAAGGCGTTACTGTCGTTAAAAAATAAGAAAACGTTTTGGTTAAATGAAAATAATATAACAATAATAAATGCGCAAAAAATATCTAATTGTACGCGATAAAAAGCAAACAAAAAAATACAAATCATTCTTCGAAGCTATTGAAGCTCTTCTGTTTAATGGCTATAAAATACTTTTTTAAAGAGTGAAAAAGTTAAAATAAATTTTTATAGATCAGGCAAAATTTCATTTTGCTTTTCAAATTTTAAAAAGAAGAAACGAGAACGAAATAAATGAAAGAATATAAAATAAAATTCAAAAGTAACGTAAGTAAAATAAAATTAATAAAAACAGTTAAATAAAAAAAGGTAAAAAAAGAATAGGCTGCACACCGAATCTTAGTCAGAAAGAGCAGTTATCATTGGTCATGTGATTTGTAAAAATTAATATGAATGTAACTTCTCTTATGAGTGAAAATGAAGATGTAAGCATTGAAGAACATTTCCTTGGATTCTTAGATGTTAAATCAACAACGGGAAAAAGTCTAACTGATGTTTTTTCACAAGAGTTAGATGAAATTGGATTGCAAATCAGAGACTTCATTAGACAATGGTATGATAACGGTTTCATTATAAAAAGTAAACTCTCGAGTACAGGTACGGATCTTAGAAATAAATCCAAAAGCATTTTGCATGCCCTGCGCTAGCCATAGCCTCTATTCCCTAATTTTGGACGCAGAAAAATGTTCATCGAAATCTATAACGTGTTTTAGTGTTGTGCAAAAAAATGTTCTTTCTCAAAAATGCGATATTTTCATGAAACACGTACTAAATCTGAGTGAAAAATGGTCCTGTGTAAAATGGTCCTGTGACACTCGTTGAGAAAGTAAACTAAAAAGCGTAAAATCGCTTCGATATCAAATTAAGGAAGTTACTGCATACTGCATTAGTTGAACTAGTTGAGTTCACAGATCTAAAAAAAAAAAGCCAATAATACCATCAGTTATGAAATACCATCAGTTATGAATGAAAAAAGTTATGAAAAGAAAAAAGCCTACAGGTTAAAAAAATGCACCTTGAAGTTGCGTCGCAGTTACTTCAAAGGATAGTTCAGTTTTTTTCAGAAATTTGGTTTAGTTTTTGTGGCGGTAACATTGTTAGCAAGAGAACTTAGTAAAACTCTTGGTGTAGAGTCAAATTTTAAAGAAGCTAGGCAGAGTAAGAAAAGAAAACTGTTTGAGTATGAGGAGATCCGCCAACTCCACTTTAAACCAAATGTTTAAAGTGGAGTATTTTTTTGTTATTGCAGATACTGCATTTAGGGTTTGTAATCCAGGGATCCCGAAATCCCGGGATCCAGGCCTTTTTTATAATCCTGAAATCCCGGGATTGTCTAATATCAATCCCGGGTTTCCCTATACGATTGAGCAAAACAAAGGATTAATCAAAAAACATATAAAAATAACAACAATCTATGCGCATCGATATAATAATTTTTATTTAGTATAATATCGTTGAAAATAAGGCCGAGTCTATTCGCACGGCCGGCGTGTTCTAATTCTAAAAAGGCTATTTGTACGGCCACCGTGTTTCCATTCTAAAAAGGCTATTTGCACGGCCGCAAAACCAAATCTTGCAATCAATTTTTGAGTCACTTCCTGATGATAGATTTTCTTCAAATTTTGCATACATACTCTTGCTTGATGACAATACAATATTCAATAATTAGTTTTGCAATAAGTTAACTAATTTAGTTAATTTTAATTAAATTTTTTTTTTTTATGGAAGAATTTAAAATTCGTAAATAAATATACTAATTGTTTAAATGCTTAAATGCGTGTTTAGCTTATTTAATAAAGTCGTCGACTTCGTAAGGTTGGAGGTTCGAGTCTTGCCTCTTCCTGAATAATTTTTGATTTTTTTTACACACGCATACTGCCGAATGTTAATAAAATAAAAAAGTATTATCAGAAAAAACTTATTGCAAAATTTGTGTTTTTAAAACATATAAAAGCACTGGGTTTTGAAAATTAGTTTTTAATTTTACTTGTTCTTTTCGCGTTTTTTTTCAAAGAATTCTATGTAATAACCAAAACTGTCATTTTCTTTCAGATCTTCCTTTTCAGCTTTTAATGTTTTGTTGTACCTATTAATTAATTCTTAAGTTACGGTGCAGTCTAATTTCAAATTTGGCCAATTTGACCGTGCAAACACTTTTTTTTTAACTGTTTACATGGCAGCCGTGCCAATAGTCTTTTTTAGAAGTTGTACATGGCGGCCGTGCTAATAGACTCTATCTGAAAATAATTAGTGTTGAAAATTTCCGCGAAAATTCCGGAAATTTTCAACCATAATATTTTGCGGAATAAGTAACAGAAGAAATAAGAAACAAATTAATAGTTTGTTTGTTCTGATACTTGTTCTGCAAATTATTAGGGTTGAAAATTTCCGGAAATTTTTAAGACTGAAAATAATTCTATTTTCAGTTATTCTGTTCTGTAATTCTGCGAAA